GCATGGGTTCAAAGGTCAACCGCTCTATTCACAAATGGATTCAGCGAACGTTTCTTTATAGAAAGCAAACAATGAAACTTTAATCAAAAATAGCATTCACAGGAGAAATCATGCTTATCAAGAGCATACAGAGAACGTTTACCAATATGCAGTCATTATACACGAGTAATTAATAAATTAATGTGTCACTTAGCAGTGGATTCAATGCGTTCCTTAATAAGAATTATTGAATGATAAAAAACTGAAACCTGGTCTGAAAGGGGTTTTACAGCCACTCCACAGACCGTTCAAACCCAGTGAGTCTACTGAGAACAAGCAGACGCTGTATCTATTTTCTCAGCAATACTGAAAATGACGCCATTCCGTGACATGAATCTGATTTAATACGATGAACCAGAAGGCTGCCTGGACGTCACAAGTATATGCTTGAATATTAAGCAGGTGATCCGAGTTATAGGTTTTATGAGAGCAATCTAATTTCAACCAAAATTGTTTAATTATATGGTAAATTTCATCATGTAGAGAGTAAATGATGCGTTAACTGAAAAAACGGGGACGCCCGGAGAAAGTTGTTTCGACCCGGTGGGGTCTCATCAACAGTATGCCTCCACAGATCCAAATGAGGAACGAGCCCGCGACCTCAAGGCAGAAAGCAAGCACTACCCACTGGACCACGAAGAAGTTTATCAGACTCGCTTTATTTTGCCCATACACGGTGTAGCACAACCAACTCTTGCCAGCTAGATGTGGGCGACACACCTCGCGCATATCCGAGCGAGTCAAACAGTGACAGTTCACGTATTTGGAATCCCGAGCAGTATCTACCTATAAACAACACGGATTTCTCTGCACTATGATTCCCGTGCTGAAGCATGTTTCACTGGCCAGCTTGTTTTTCCAATAATTTCTTTTATTCAACAAGTGACTGGAAGATAAACATCTGGACTAATCATACTTCAAGAGAAATCATATCCTAGCCAAAATTAGGTTTAAAGTTTAGCCATAGACTTAATCAGTGAAGTGTCCATCATCGAGTTTGCTTAACACCATTCAATGAACGCATAAATCAAACCATGACAGAATGTTGATTTGGACTGATCGACCTTCTGGCGTTATTTTCGCATACAATACTCAACCAGTCCATTTAGCCGCAGACAATCGGTTCCAATCAATACCACATATCCCACATCACTACTCACAAATAACTTTGAGGTGAACCTGAATTACTGAGTGGTCTAACAGTATGCACATCACAGTAGGTTCCAGTAAATGTAATGAATATCTGATTCCACCGATTGCAGACCAGTTACACATACTGTGTTGACAACCAACTAAAATATGTTTATCAACCATGAACAGGCGGAAACCTCAATATGGTCGGGGGTAGGTGTCTCGGGTTGTGGTTGGCTACTCTTCCCTTGCACTTCGCAAAATGCTCCTATACAACCAAGTGTCTCGAATAGCCACGGTTGAGGAAGCCCTACCAACTGAATTCCCGTGGCGGACCCGTTTCTTAACAAAAGTGAGAGGACGAAAAACGAATATCCGAGTTGGTGGACCACTGGCAGTTCCCCTAGGGGAGTTGGCTGAAACTTTAGTTCCAAACTAACCAACAAGAGGCGTAGGAACCACACTCACCCACAGCTTCCTCATTGTTGTAAGGGTCATCGGCTCGATTGGGAATGGAGGTA